TCCTTTAAGCCAAGGTCACACTGATGACAGTTTGTCAAATCTGCCTTCTCCCATCTGAAGAGTACGTCATTGAGAGGTAGCACGTTCCGAATCAATCGCCAAATAAATAAATAAACTTTGCTGAGATAATCCGCCGCTGGTGCCCAAGATCAAAATGAGCGCACCTCTGATGCCGACAAGCCGAGCCGGTCACACAGAGGGTCCTTCGCGACCCCCTCCATTAATTCAGGATACAATAGTCTTCGAGGCCGAGAAAGGTCACTGGACCGAGGAATGACCTTCAAGGCCGACCGACACTCGCTGAGGAAACTCGACAACCTTCCACAACCGCGACTGCGCTTATCCCAAGAAATGGGAGGAGTGAGGTAAGACTAGGTAAGGCGTCCCTGATACTCCGCGCCAAAATCGTACCCTCCGTCAAAACGCGGCGTAGGAAAGCCAACATTGAGGCATGGCGATGACTCGTCTAGTGTGGCAATCCCAGCTACCTCCTCATGAGACGGATGCTGATAACAGGCTTCTTTAAGGAACCAATGTTTGCAACCACTCCACAAGAGAGTAATCAACAAACGCTCGATCGCCTCCATAAAGGTTCTGCAAAGAGGAAGTACAGCCAGGTGGTAAAGTATGAGGGGCAAAACGTAAATAGTACACGCTTCAGCCCTACACTTTAAGGACAACCTCCTTCGCAGCCAAGTCTGGCCTGACGCTCCGCCTGTACTTTTGACCAATTCTTCTCCAAACCAAACTCTAAGAATGCGGACAGGTCCATCAGTCCAACCAAAGGGTCTAGGAAGCACGCCCCCACTTCCAGGCACCTAACCGCAAGCCGGAAGACTTGTTACGGTTAATCTTGGCCCCCGTCACCCTCTCGTGTCGTTCAAGCGCCTTCTGTACCACCTTAATGTCGTGGAGGCACGACATGAAAATGGATACGTCATCGGCGTACGGAGAAACCCTAGCTCGAGTTCTGACAGGGAAAACAGCGATTCCGCGTAGAGCCGGACTGCGCGCCCTGTCACTTAGCTGGGGAAGGAGGGGCTTCAATGCCAAAGCATAAAGTAAGAGCGACAGCGGACAACCCTGTCGGACCGACCGAGACAGTGCAAAGCGTTCGACCGCTTCCCGTTCACCTGTACCACACCATTGGGGTAGTGATACAGGAGGCTGATCATCTTGCAGGACAGTTGCCAGGTACTGATGGTCGACCCTGTCAAATGCCTTGGACTGATCCAAGTTAATCAGCGCGGCTTGAGCGTCGTCTTTTACACCCTCTAAGATCGTGCGGATCAAATGTAGGTTGCTTTGAATTGTTCGTCTCCTCACAGAACAAGTTTGCTCGGGTCCCAACAAGCTCGCGACAACTGACTGCAACCTCTCTGTCAGGGTCTTGGTCAAAATCTTTAACTCTGTGTTTAGCAGTATGTAGTCATCTGAATCCCGCCCAACACCCTTGTCCTTTTTCAACAGTGTGATCACACCCCTGGAAATTCGGCCGGCCCTGAAGGCAGAGAGTTCGCTTTCCTTGATCGGCGAAAAGTCGCCGGTTTATATGACAAAGGTGCACAGTAACATCATCGATCTTGATAGGTTATTAATATCTAAAAAAAATTAAATCCTGAGTTGATATTGTAGTGGATCTAAGAAGGAAGCGTGAATGTTTAAAATTATGCTGCAAATAAAATATACAATATCCACAAACATAAATTATAAGAAATGGCAACGATATTCAATCACGACAAAAATACATGTTTGAAATTTTATATACACAATTTACAATTTCCTTATTTGTAATGATGTGTTCAAAGGTATAGAGAAAAAGTTCTTTGCTGTTTCAGAAATGTTCAATGTCTAAAAAGTTGTCTGCCTTTGATTGAAAGGTTGAATTTAACTTAGACAAAAGATTTTTCTATGAAAGATATTAAGTGAAAAAGTTTGTTGTATGAAATTTTCTAATCTCTCATAAAGAAAGTTTGTTTCTTTGGCGGCAATTTTGACACATAATTCCCGTGTGTATTTTTGCGTGTGTGAATCTCAAAATACGGCGAAAATTCGTTTGCTGTTTCTATTTATAAGTTTTTTTAACAACAAAATCGGCTCCAGCGGCTTGGTAGCTTGTTACGAATTTTTCTGAGAAATGCGTGGGCGAATGTTGTCTTTTTTATTTTTTTAGCCAATAGGATTTCTTGAAACATTTAAATTAGGAATGAATTTGAGAAATATTTTTTAATGTCAGTTGAGCCTATTTTTGCACAAATTTTGACTGTTTTGTTATGGAAATTTCTTGAAGCTTATTCTTATTTAACGACCAATGAAATTCAAGAAAATGTTTGAAAATTGAAATGAGAGTTACTAAAATATAATGTGTAAAAAATGTCATGGAATATTCAAGAAGAGTATTTAGATTGAGTTAATAATAATCAAATACGTAATAGAAAAGTGATTGATTATAAAATCTAAATAAACGTGTTTTGTTGCAAAAAGAAAGTGGGGTGATGCAACGAAGAAAAGGGCGAAAGTCCGCCATGTTCACGTGAACGGAGTCGCGAAGGGCTACAATACGTGTATTCCAAAACATCCACATATGAAGCAAACCATCATATTTTTGGTTGTTCGAATCCAGCGCAAGGCTGACTTGAGATCGACCATTTTAATTCTTATTTTTACTGACCCGAATTTATTCCTAGACCAGAAAAAGAAAACAAATATACCCAAGATACGTTGAGAACTTTGTTGTTTCCCTACGGTTTCTATAAAAAAATAAATAAATAAAATAAAATAAAATAAAGAATAAACGATCCATCCCTACACAAAAGCCACCAATCTGCCACTGGCGTTTACCACCGGTGGCCCGCTGTCAGGGCGCCGGCGGGATCGTCTCGGTAATGTTACCACTTGCGGACCGCTAGAGGCCTACCGGTAGCTTGTCGGTGGCTGTCACAAGAGGGCTGCTGGCGTTGCTATCGACGACCCGTCAGTAGGCTACTAGCGGCTTGCGTGTAGGGTCGTAGAAACCCAAGTCTTTGTAAGCCTCTTTTTAATTGTTTATTATATGTAAAAACACACCACACTTAAAACATACACCAACAAGCAACCTTTAATTTCTATAATCTTGTGTCTTTGCTATATTTAAAATCGAAATCTGTGGGCTTTATGAGAATTTTTTCCTGAAAGTAAGCTCGAGAAAAATAGGCTCTGATTGGTCAAATATTTCACATGCTTATGTTAATTTCTAACCAATAGACACTTTGATTTAAAGGGTGTGTTTTATAGTGAAATCTTTTTGGTATGTTTGTAATATTGTCTGTTATTGGGTAGAAAATAAAGTTTGGGCGTGTTTCTATATGATATGTGGGTATATAATTGTGTAGGAAATATGGTTCATATCCTATAGATTAATTAGGTGCATTGTATATATGGTATTACGTGAAACTAAGCTAAGTTTCTTCTTCTTCTTCTTCTTCTTCTTCTTCTTCTTCTTCTTCTTCTTGTTGTCGCGTCCCTTCAGAAAGTAGGCGATCAGGGGTATCCACAATTTCTTGCCTTTTGTAGTTCCTAAAATTTTTTTTCTTTTTGTTATCTCTCCTAAACCTTGTTCCGTCATCCGATTGCCTTCAATCTGTCCTGTGAGTATCAAATTTTCCAAGTCCTTTTTCCTCGTTATATACCCTAGATATTTCAAATGTCTCTTCCTGATGTTATGTATAAGTGTCCTTTTTGTTTCCATTTTCTCTAAAACTTCGTCGTTGCTCACATGTTCAGTTCATGGTATTCTCAGTATCCTTCTGTAGAACCACATTTCTGTTACGTCAAGTCTCTTTTTCATCTGTGAGAAGATTGTCTGCAATTCACTGCTAGAGAGGAAGAATGATATTAAATAATAGTTTAATACTCTTTTCTTTGTTTCTAACGATATTTTCCTGATTCTTAATAGCTTGCTTAGCTTTTGGGAGGCATCTTTCTCTATTCCAATGTTCTTTCGGATTTCAGAGTCAGACTTTCCGTCCCCTGTTAAAACACTTCCAAGAATTTAATAAGTTTAATTTAACGAACCCACGGCTGGAAATTTTTCCTTCTTTTTTCTTCTTCTATTTGCCATGTCTCTTCAGAACGTAGGCGATCATGGCTCTCCGCAACTTCCTGTCCTTTGTAGCTCTTAGTAAAGTTTGTATTTTGGCTATCACTCCTCATCCCTGTTCTAACAACCATGTACACGAGCTAGTCAGGTAAATTATTCACTTCTTACTTTTCTCTCTTGTCTTCAACATGTCTTGCAGGTGTAAACATTCTCCAAGTCCCCTTTCCTTATTATGTCATCTAGAAATTTCGATTGTCTCTTTCTGATTTTAAGTATAAGTGTCCTTTCTGTTTCCATTTTCGTTAAAACTCCTTTTGCTTTTATTCAAATTGTCCTTTTACAGCTGATACTTTCCCACACTTTATATATGTATATATACATACATATATATATGTGTATATATATATATGTATGTATGTGTATATGTATGTATGTATATATATGTGTGTGTATGTCTATATATATGTATGTATGTGTATATGTATGTATGTATGTATATATTTGCATGTGTATGTGTATGTATATATATAAATATAAAAGTGGCCTGACGATTGCGTCTAGCATGAAGCAGCCTGTCGCCTCTAAGTGTTGACTTCAATGTTCACTTTTATATTTACAGACGCTCTATCTCTGATATTGAGCACTTTATCCCATAAATATAGCACACCTTACGACTATATTGCTTCATATATAATATATTTATATATTAAATTAAATTAAAAAAATACAAAATCATTTTCATCAACATCGTTAATTATCATGCAAAAATTATAGCCATTATTTTTTGCAAAATTAAATTGAATCCGTTATTTTTTTGATGATACGAGTAAATTATAAAATAAACCTAATTTTTAATAATTTAACTCGTGGAAAGAGAAATCAATACGTTTTCGTGTTTCCTTATTGTCTGCTTCTGATATTCATGTTCTGGGGCGACAACTTCCGGTATTTATTGCAGCTTGACCTTTGTTGACCTTTCTGCAAAGAAGCTGGTCTTGTGCTGTGTAGAGTTGCGCTTTTGCTCGAATCCTCCGGTTGCTTCCTGATTCATTGAGCAGATTTTTGTCTTTCTCGACTCCACAGTAGAAAGAAATAACCTGGTTTGTAAACCAATATTTTTCTTTCTTTATCCTTATTAACATCCAAGGTTTTAAATCGCCTGTTTTAAATGTATTTATCTGGAAAGTTCTTAAAAAGAAAAAAAAAAAACGTGGGACGATGAACCGGTGTAAAAAGCACATGGCGGCTTTAAACAGGGAGAAATCATTCTTTCTTTGCTGCTAATTTTAAATTCCTGATTTTATTTGAGAATTGTCTATTCCTGATTTGTAATAATATAAAACGAAAAGTAATACGTTCAATGTATATTTAGTGTTCTTATATATATATATATATATATATATATATATATATATGTGTGTGTGTGTTCTTGTTGAGGCTTGATTGCCGGTGTATCAATGTCATTGTCATGGAGAAGAAAATCTTAACATCTTGTTTGTCTTCTTTAAATGATATTTTAAATAGTGGAAGCTGTTGAGTGCAAGAATATCGAATCGAAATTAGTTTGGAATTAGGAAATTTTCTTAAAATAATAGTTGAAGCAAAATGCTTCTTAAAAAGTTGAATTGTATAACTAGTAAGACCTGAATCATTTCAAAGTCACGTGTAGTAGTAACTCCCACTTTTTATCCCTGGGACCCAAATTATCCAGAGAAATGCTAACTTTAATAATTTAAATAAATATTTACTAAAAGTACAAATTAAATTTAAATAAAATTGGAGTTTTCACTTTCACGATAATCCCCTTTTTTATCTAAAAGTTGGAGATTTTGTGTTACGTAATCGTTTATGGAAATTTTTAATCTTTAAAAACTGAATCAGGAATTTTAAAACTCTTTTTTTATTTAATTAATAAGTCCCCATACTTTTGTTCTTGTGAACTACTTTGTTTTTCGATTTTTTTAATCAGATTTCTACATTTTTAGAAATTAAAAAGTCTCAAATTTGAAAAAAAATATTCGATGTAAAAAAAACAAAGCATTTTTAATTTTCTTTCTCGACGTCCTAAGAACTCGTCTTATATAAAAACGGAAAAAAAAAATCTTTAACTCTTTTATTTCACTTCGGGACATCAAGTAATTTTCTGAAAATATCTTGTAGTGATCTGCTATAAACTCTGGCTTCTTCGGACCTCCTTTTTTTTTCCCCATATAAGGAATGCTCCCTTGTTTGGACTTTTGACCTGGAAAGATCTGTACCATATTTTTTCAAATTAAATTTTAAAATACTTGTTTACTTTAAATTGTAAATTTATTAAAATTTAAGTACTATGTTTTTTTGTTTATCTAAAATTTTGAAATCGAACTGTTTTCAATTATGTCTTGCATTAGGTCTTTTTTTAGTTTTTATGTTCTTGACTTTTCTAGAAAATTCTCCTCCTTCAAAGTCTCACTTTGTCTTTCCTTTTTTAGTTTTACTTTACTTTATTGATTTTAAATTCATTTGATTTTCTTTCTACATTAAAAAAGCAACATATTTTCACCTTATTTTAAGTAATCTTTGCAATTCACTTTTTTTACAAACTTTTCTTAGATAAAAAACACGTGCTTATTTTTTTCTTTTAATTTCTACTGTAATGATTAGTCTTTTTAGTATGATTTAAAAAAAATTAAAATGTTATTTTTAAAAATCTATTTTTTTTTTCTTGTGTCTGTTATTTTTCTCTTTTGAAAACGAAGTTAGCCTTAAAAAAATCTTGTCTGTTCTTTTCATTTTCTCAACATTTCAGTTTTAAGAATCGGCCACGTGTTGCGCGCCATTTAATTTCTTAACCTCTTCAAACCCAATTTTCAAATTTCTCTTAATTTTACAAATTTTATGTGTTCAGTAATTAATAATCAAAAGGAAAATCTTATTTTGTGGAGTACTTGTTTCGCAGATTTCATTGTTTAAATAAAAACGAAACTAAGGGAATATTGCTTAAAGTCATTTCGCGCCCCCTTTTATTTCCAGATAGAGTTCACGAGACCATCTCAATTATTTACTTTTATTAGAGATGCAATATCTTTTTAAACATACAGAGGGTGGGACAGAATTTCCAACTGTAGTATTACGTAAAATTACGATTATTTACTGAAATTTTAGCTTGATTTAATTAATAGTTTGGTGAAATGAACATGTCTCTTTAGGAAAGGGTTAAAAAAGAAAATGACTCTGCAAATAACACTTTAATTTAAAAAAGCACAGATCAATTTCGCCTGTGATAATGTTGCAGGTGGAGGTGTTTTCTGTTTTTTTTTTTTTTTTTTTTTTTTTTTTTACTCGTCTATTAAACACACCCTTCTCTGCCTTTATCTCCAGTCGGTTAGCGATCCTTCGAGAAGGGACCTATTTATGACCTTCCCGGCTCATTTCAAGGTCAAGAAAGGTGTTACCCGACCGTCTTTTGATATTTTGGGATCTTTCCTTCAGCCCTGAAGATACTATCGATGTACATCCTTTTTCTGTAACAGTTGCTCATAACTATTGTAATTATTTTCTTTTCTAATTCTCAGGATATTTTCTAACAGGAAACAAAATTGGTTGTAAATAATCGGCCCGTGTTCTTCACCGCCCCGAAAATCCCTTTTGCTAGTTAGGATGTCTAGTAGTGTTGGAATATTTAATTCTTAGTTTCAGGTTAAGGAGAACGTTGTGCGCCATGACCCATGTAGGAGTCACTGTACCTAGTGTTTAAACGAAAGAAGGCATTTTTAATTAATTTTAAGAATGTAATCTTTAACCGTTTTGTTTTTAACGTATGAATAATTAAAAAAATTAAAATAGACTATAAGTCACTATAAGTTTCGGATATTCTGCTTTTATTTTATTGAAATTTTTTTCATTCTCACCTGTTTTATTGGCTAAAAGTCGATTGATATTCAATTATTTCATTATTTTTGCATTTGGAGGAAAATATGCTCGTAACATGAGGTTAGGTAAGAAATAAGTGAGACAATGAATGCCAAGAAAGTTTCGTAAGCTAAAATGGAGGGTATCCCCAATTTATGTAGTTAGGTTTACTTGTTAAACAGCAGCATTGAATTTCATTTTGAATTTTAACCTTCAAGTGTTGTGGATGGGGGAATACTATTTTTTTTTCTTGTACGAGTCCCAGTCCTTTGTTACTTCAAGCCGTATAATTTTTTATATTTTTTTTTTTCTCTAAATGATTGAGGTTTTGTTACATACTGGAAGAAAGCAAGTTACAATTAGCAGCAAAATCAAAGTAATAAAAAATCAACTTGCAATTTCTTGCTATGGTTGCATCATATTCAGTTTTTCGGGAGGAGGAGGCTCATCTCATTTTCTAGGACAATAATTTTTAGTAGTTAAAAAAAAGAGGATATTTTAAGCAAAATACTTTTTTTATTGTTAAGCTTTAAACTACTAATGTATTTTCCCTACATTATAACTGATAAAACTTCATGTTTGATATTATTTTGTCGCCACGGAGTCTTACTCTTCCTTTTTCAGGATTGTTGTAAAAGTAAAATTCCATATATTCCGGATATAAAAATATTCAAATATTTATCCGGATAAAATCATATTTTTAACTCCATATTTAATAAATGTATTTTAATTAAAAGGCTTCCAGGTTGTGTTTTTTTTTTTTTTTTTTTTTTTTTTTTAATTTATCCTGCTGTAAATATGTACAAAGTGTAGTTTAATCTGGCGCAAGATCATACTAGTAAGAGCATTTGCTAATGATCAAGCTTGCTACTATAGCGTTTTAATTTGAAGTAATGAATTTTCTGACCTTTGCACTTTGGTAGATATCCTAAATTCTAAAGTTCAGCTTCATCAGCAAACTACTGAATCTTATCTCTTTCCTTTTCTCTTTCCCTCTCTGCATCCATTTGAGACCTGGTCTTCTGTAATTGTTTACCAGGATGCTTAACGATGCTATAATAAATAACTTTTGGTTCTAACTGTTAAGCTCATTTAAAATGCCTGACAGATGTAACCGATGGTTAATAATTCCTTTCTTTGCTAACCTTACTTATGGCCTAACCAAATTAAAAAAAATTGTCATTTTATTTTTATTTTTTTTTATAAGATTGTTTTTTCTTTTTTAAATATTGTTTGATGAATAGAAATTCATAGGTACTTTATTGTATTAAGTAAAAAATAAGAAACACAGGCTAGTATTGATGAAAAGATTTCTTGACATAAATAACATAGAACCTTGTAGCAAGAAATTGATTAGTGATTTTTTTTTCTGGGTCCTATATTAGTGTAAATGTGAAGGTATACACAAGTGGTATGACTGATGTGCAGAGCTCCAGATTAAATTATTTCACTCATTGTTCCAGAATTGCCCTGAAAAACAGCTTTAAACATCTCCTCAAATGTTCTTAACTTTGTAGTTGTTATCAAATGTTTTTAAGACATCAGTAATTTGATCCATTCATTATTTAAACTGGTTCATGTGCCCTGCAGCCACTATTTCTTAACTAGGTCACCATTTTCCCTGGTTTGAATTGCTAAATGAGAGGAACCTGAATGGATTTGCAGGAGGCAGTTGAGCATTTCACGTTTGTTTGATTAACAGGACACCTTTTTTTCTTTTTTTTTTACAAATTAGTTTTAAGAAAAATACAATTTTTAATTTAAGTTCAATTTGAATAATAGCAGGAATGTTCCGGGAGATATGTTTTACATCCCATGAATTATGCCCAATGAATAGCATCAACCAGTCACTCCAGTGTTAGGTTTGCAACCCAACTGCTTTTGTGAGTTTCAATAGATCTTGAATATTCTTGACTGACAAAGCAAAAATAATCAGTAAGGTTGCTAGGAAGATGCTGATACAAGGAATACTGTGTGCATTCAAGTCAAAGAAGATATTATCTTTGGGTGTGATATTAGTCACATGAAACCAAAACTTATTAGCCAGGGTGCCACCAAGGTGCTTTGAGTTAAAGAGGAGGCTGAACCATTGCTGTATTAAGTGAATCAAAATGTCTTAATTCCAAAGATTTCATTTGAGCTGTTTTGGTAAAATACCTCCTTATTCTTTTTTTTCCTTTTTTTTTTTTTTTTTTTTTTTTTGTCTGTCTGCATACATTTGTAATTGACGTTTTGGCATGGGCTATGAAAGAACTTTGTGTCATTAGAAGAATCTTGTTTCTGCTTCTCACTCATTCATTCATTCATTCACATGCCACCTTTACTACCCAACCCAACAATTTATAGATTGAGTCTGAAATAATGTTAGTAGACAGGGTAAAAGCTTGCGGGCAGATGAAAACAAAATGGATAAAAAAAAAACAAAACAAACAAACCCTGTACTGAGTAGGAAATCGTGGTAGCAATTTGATTGGTGTATTTTCCCCATGATGGCTGAAATAGGTTTAATCACAAATAGGCAGTCACTTGTTTTGTTATTTACAGTTAGTCTTTTAATCTCTCTCTCAAATCATGTTTTGCATTCTATAAATGTATCGATTGTTTTTGGTTGGTTGTTGATTAAATCTAAACCAACTTTCACCATCTTCACCTTTGCATTGTTGGGACTCTAGCTGATGGACTCTTGAGTCTTTGTAAAAGCAGCAATTCTAATGTTGGTCATGTGTGTCTTGGTTTTAAAGCAATCATTTTTGACTTAGTCAATCAATAGGCTTTATAACTAACAATCTTTCCTTGTTGGATACTTCAGAAAAATCACCTTGTGTCAAACTTGGCTGCAACATATGGGATGAATATTATATTCTGATGAACATCTATGGTAACATATTTTTTTTTTTTTTAACTGATGAGTCACAGCTCATTCTGACATTTTAAAAATTTTCAACAGGTCTTGATCGGGTCTTAAGTTGATCTTAGATTTTGAAATTGGAACGGCTTCAAATTAAAATAAAATGAAAAAGGGCAGTGTTATTTGTTGAGAAATGTTTGTGACAATGTAGGATGGTCAGGATATTTGCTTATGTTGAAGTTCAACCCAAATACCAAAGCAATGATTATATTTGATGAGTTGCTTGCGCTTTCAACCAGAATTGATCCTTACAAATACATAGACTTTAACCTGACTTAAGTAGTTAACTGCAGAAAAATGCCAAAAATTGACATTTTTTTTTCTCCTCATAAAAAAAAAAAAAAAAAATTAACTGGACAAAACCATGAAAGTAAATTTGAAAATGTTATTTGATAATATACATTTAAATTTCTTTCATAAAATGACTTTTCTTAATTCTTTATCCATATTTTAGCTATTTAATTATCGTTACTTGTGTATTATCTCCTAATTTTTATAAAGTTAGATGTATTTATTTTTTGATACCATCCTATTGCCACTCAAATAATACGATTTATTTATGTTGTTTGGAGAAATAAATACAATTTAAGAAACAAATAGTATATTTTTACACATCTGTATTTGTGAAAAAGTTAGAAAATGAATTTAAAAAGTGGCTACGGATTAACTGCAATTACTCAATTATCTTCAAATCCAGGCCCAAGGTGTCCAGATAATGGAGACAGTACTATATGAAAATTTCAATCTACATTATCTTACAAGTACTACAATGATCCAAGGCAGAAGTATCGATAATTTTCAACACACACCGTGTTTTCTATTATTGACTCTTGAAATAATCATTAACAAATTTAAAAATATTTAAGTACATTTTGTTAAGTACATTTGGTATGTAGTGATTGTATATTTATATAAGAAACCATTAGTTTATCTTGTTTCCTGAACTTATCATTGACTTATTCCATTAAGTAGTAATTAACATTTGTAGCAAATGGCTTTGTTGCAATAGATGCACACATTCATGCAATTTTTTTTCTTTTATTTTCAGCCAAAATGTATCGTCTTCCCAGTTTAACAAGATCATTAACACGACAGAATAGGCTCGTTCCTCTTATGGTCAGGGCTTATGCTAAAGATATAAAATTTGGTGCTGATGCCCGTGCCCTCATGCTTCAGGGTGTGGACACTCTGGCTGATGCAGTGGCTGTTACCATGGGACCAAAGGTATGCAATTTTATTTACCTGTGTTGATGGATCTATTGCAGTGCTTGTTGTCTCTGATGTTTGTCATCCTAAAAGATGTTAGTTGTTTGGCCACCTTTATGGGATGATTTATGAGAGGAATATTTGAAAAGACTTTACAACCGCTATTACATTTCGTTTGTGTTGATGTAGATTAGAAATTGAAGCTTAAAAAAAACATTTGTATTGAAAATATCTTCACCAATGTTGATACTAGTTTTTATAAATAAAAATTTTTTGATGAAAGACAGCGATATCAGTTCTAGCCTTAAATCCTTTTTATTTAGAAAAGGTCTTAGAAATACTTGGTTTTCTTTTTTTTCCTTTAATTCAGTATGAACATTTATTACAATTTTCAATGCAAAATATGTAAATCTTGGACAAAACAGTTCCATAGCAACATTTGAGAAAAAATCTAAAATAATGTTCATTTTGGTACAGTTTGACTGAATCGATTTTATTTTTTATTTTTTTTTTTTTTTTTTTGTAGTTAGTATAATAAAGTATCAAGCATTGTTAATTAATGTCCCTACAGCTTACTACTAATGCTACAAAACCCCTTAATTTGTTGATCTAAACAAATGGTTGTATTAATTTCGATATTGATTCTGAAGTTCTTGTGGCATTTCTTAAAATAGCCATAATTAACTTCATATTAAATTGGCTTCAAAATCTCTTCATTGCTTTCATATTCTTGCATCTTTAATCTCTTTAGGTTCTTGTTATGAAAATCTATCTGTGCACATTTGGTATGTTTGCCCCAGTGTTGTTTACTGAGGTAAGATCCAAACAGCTGCCAAAGTAAACTGTACTTGGATATCTCCAACAGATCATTGATTGGTCTGTTTGGGCACTCACCATGTAACAAGCATATTTGAACTTAAAGAATTAACAATATCATTTTCCTCTTAGCTTTTTTCTTAATTTATAACTGCTAATTTTAAAGAGTACTTTAACATGACAATTTATCACTGACATAAGATTACTTATAGCATCTCTATATACAGCTCTATTACAGAAACTTGAATTGTTCAGCAATGTACTAAAGTTGTTTAGTACAAGACCAAATTAAGTGTAGGAAGATTATGTTGCTTACATCCTAAAAATGGAGAGGGCTTGCCTGTTTTCTCGGCTGAGTTACCAACTACCAGCCAGCTTGTGAATCTTTGATTATATTTTATTTTCAGAACAGGTATTTGATTTATAGCAGTTTTATCTTTCTTAAAAGGTAAGAAATTGTTTTGCTTGTTGGTTATTTCATGTGGTAGATATTTATAATTTATGTTTATAGGAAGCATTATTTGATGCCAATAAGCAAACATATTTTGTGTTGTCACAACTGAATCATTAGTAAGTAGTGAAGATCAGGCTGCTAGTACATTGCTTTTCATCTCTTGTTTTGTATCTGATTTCTTGGGATATTTTTACTTTTAACAATTTATAACATTTGTGGCAAAAGTTAATTGTTTAAATAAAATCTAGGATTATTCATGTAGAAAACATAGCCCATATAATTGCAAAAAAGCTTTTTATTTTTTTTATATCTTTCCACACACACACATAAATATAATGGTGAAGCAAGCATGGTGAATAGAAATGTTTGTACCAAAATATAAGATTCTTTCATTTCAAAAACACTGACAAATGGACAGAATTTATCTAATTGTAGGGAATGGAATTTGTTTTATATTCTGGATGATTACAGTGTATACCTGTGTCTAGGTCATGCCAGTAGGCCACACCTTTAGTTTGGGGGTTTTCAAAGTGGTTATTCCCACTTGACTTGCAGATAGATTGAATATGTTTTTGAGAAAACATCATTCATTGTTTGTATTTTGAGTTGGCATTCATCCTCTTCATCTCCAGTTATTGTCTTAATTTATCTCTGTTCATTACTCACTGATTGGTTCTATTTTTGATCTTTACTAAACTACCATTTTGTTGCATGACTTCACATAACTATTTTTCAATATTTTAGAGAAGGCAATGAATACTGCTTGTCATGAATGATCTCTCATCACCAGAAGTTGAAATTGGAAAAGAAAAACATACACCTACTTCAATGCTTATATTAGGGATAGAGGGGCATTTAAAATTTGTAAATATTGAAACAATTTAATGGCTTTGAAATTGGAATATAAAGACTTCAGTTTCGATCAAGTTTGCTTCTTTTTTTTTTTTTTTTAACTACGTTTCTTTCAGCACTCCTCCAAAATCTCACTTTCACTGCCCCCCCCCCCCCGCGCCAAATAGTGTGTCACTCATACTGATTATTTGAAGGGAAAGTTTTGATTCTTTTGATAAAAAAAGAAAACTCCCTTAATACACAATGAAAAACACATTTTATTAAGAGCAAAAAAAAAAGCTGTCAAAAGTTATATTGTAATTATTTTATTCTCTCCTGTTCACAAATTGCTAACAGAACGCCAAAATATCCCCACCCCACGGACTTCTGCTGGTCTTTTGTAAGCACATAAAGCAAGAATAGGTAAAACACTATATTTAAAAATCTACAAAAAGAAAAATAGCTTTGTTCAAATTTATGGATGTTTAAAAGAAATAATTTTACAGTTGTACAAGGTGGTTTTAAAGTCTTGTCACTCCCTACATATTATTTTCTATTTCAGATAGCTGACATAAACTCCTACAGTTTGGAAGTGAAGTATGGGTGACAAGACTTCCATACATACCACCCTGTACATCAGTAGTGTGTTTTTTTTGTTTTTTTTTTTGTATGTAAAAAAAATTGATTGGGAAATTTAAATGTTTTTATTTTTGTTTTATATATATATATATATATATATATATATATATATATATATATATATATATATATATATACGTATCTTTTTTTTTTTTTTTTTTTTTTTTTATGGCACAGTGTTGTTTTAAATCTGGTATGAGCAAAACGCTCATGATTCATGTAGGGACATGCAAAGAATGTGGGCATGGATAACAAGGAGGTAATCAAAAATTATTAATGTTCCTTGCATAACAGTAAAAAAAATTGTAAAAACGAAAAAAATTTTTTTAAATTTGCATTTTTTTTCGGTTATTGAAAGACTTTACTAAGATTTTGGAAGATAACACCAAAGATAAAAAATTTATAACATTAAAAATAAAATTCTATCAAAAAGCCATTGTTTAGTGATATTGTTCAGTTGGCATTCCATTGCACCAAATTTGGAGAAACTCTGAGGTATTATTGCCTTTGCAGTAATTATTGGTGCTACATTAAAATAAACCAAAATACATGGACACTTTCCTCCATTGTCTTATATTTACAATTGAGGCATATACCATGTAACATTTGTTCTAAGTTCTTTTTCTGGTAGAAAACCTTTTTCTTTCTGCGGGAAAAAATGTAAATACGATGTCAATTGTTCTCTCTTGTCCTCCTGATTGCTCTTTTCTCTTACTCTGCATTGCTAATATTTCTGTTCCTAATTCCTCCATGCTCTGTAACCCCTTGCATGCCTTATTTTGGGTGATGCTTTTTTTTTTTTTATTAAAGCAAATACATTTTAGTTGATGAAAGGCCTGTTTTATTTTTGTAGTATTCTTGAGATGCTGAACTATTAGTTAAGATTTTTCCATGTTGACTCTTTAGTCAAATGGTCTTTGAAATTTTGAGAATTTTAAAACAAAATCGGTTTTGAATAAGAGACAGGTGAAGCTTCTTTTTGAATTTCCATAATTTCCTTTGAAGCCCTAAGAATAGTTTTGGACAAAATGGGATGAGAAGAAAACTGAAGATGCCCCCCCCCCCAAAAAAAACACGGATAATAGTGAATCTAAGAATTAAATTTGATATTTTTTAAGTTAACATTTCAGGGTAAAGGCAGGAAATGAGAAACTGCATCTTAAAAAAAAAAAAAAAAAAAAAAAATATCTTTCTGGTAAAAATAAGTAAAATTTGTAGTTTTGTGTAGGGAGGACATTAGATTTTAGTGGATCCAAAATGATCCAAAAGCATTTCCCTTTTAGCAGATTCATGTTTCTTCAGCTTGAGAACCAATTTTCAATTAACATGAAAATTGAAAGTTACTTTAATTCAAATCATGCAAAGAAATCAAAATATTACTTCACTTAAGTTCCTTGTTAGTATCCATTAAGGCTTTTTTTTTTTTTTTTTTTTTACTGGTTGTAAAATTTCCCTCTTCCCCCATCAAACTCTTTGTTGGGTGGGGAGTGCTTATCAAAGCGACCCATATTATACACATATAGCTTAATTTGGATATCATTTTAAATGCCTGATATTAGTTAAATGATCTTGAGGAATCTTTTTTTTTTTTTTTTTTTTTTTTTTGTCTTGTCTTTCAAATTCATTACAATTGTGGTTTCTAAAATTTGAGAAGACCAATTGAAGTAAGGTTGATTGTAATTGAATAAGACTAGGCTTCTTCCAAAACCTTTTTTTTTTTTTTTTTTTTTTTTAAACTACTTAAGATTTTAGGTGTTGGTGGTTTATGAATTTATTTTCTCTTCTAAATATATATAAACTGAAAATGAAGTATTTGATTGCCTTTTTTTTCTTTAATTTTGTTCTTTCAAACTTTGAATTATCTCATAAATTTTATCCTCCCACCATTTTCTCTTCATTATTGCATCAATATTGTGAAATATTTAAGGTTACATGATTACCTTAGAAGAAAAAAATTGGTGCAAAATAAAAAAAATCCATGGGCACTTTCCTCTGCTGACTTTTCCATGCCAGTTGAGGCATATACCATGTGACAGTATTCCTTTAGATTTAAGAAAAGATTCTGTCTGCATCTCCACTGCATTTACATCAGTTTCATATGAGAATTCATAATATGATGAGTTCTGGGTTTTTTTTTTTTTTTGTTTAAAAACAAAATTTCTTATGAAATATAACATTTGAAAATTGCAACTTCTGTCATTTAGTGGAATGTGTCTTACAATGTACACACTTTTCTAATTTAAATAATCTTATTAAATGGAATTTACATGTCACAGATCTGTGTGTATGCTGAAGATCACTTAAGTCTGATTTTTCTAAAGGACAAAATTCTTTCCACTTTGTTATAGTTTTTCCCTAAAATTGTTCTTTTATGAGAATTTATATTATTTTCCTTATAATTTCTCACGCAACCTTAAGATTTTTTTTTTTTTTTTTTAAGTCAGTTTAATGACAAAGCTTTTCAGGATTTTTGTCTCCAACCTGCCTCTGAATTGACAAACATAAAATTTTGTTAGTGATTTTTAGATAATCATAAAAGTAGACTTCTGTTGATAAATTGAGCACCCAAAAGCTGAATGGATGGTCTCCTTTTCCAGAACACAAGTGGACATATGGTGGTGGTCAGATCCCAGCCAGTATCCATATAAGCCGAGACAGGTAGGAAGTCAATGGGCAGAAAGGAGGAAAGTACCAGAGTGAGTCAGTCAGTCATTGGATCGGGCAGTGAATGTAAGGCTTCTTTCTCTGTGGCTGGAAGTTAGTAGCATAGTCCACCTTTTTGAAGGAAGACATTGTCGATTAAGTGAGAAATTGTATTGCTTAATATTTCCCAATCAATGTCTTGAAAAGAATTTGCCATTATTCTTTGTTGAATTTGATCATGATCGGTGATATGATTCTGTGAGCATATTGAGCTGGGTGCATATATGTATACAACTGACCTTGTATGTCATCACTGCTTGTGCAGTGACGTGCGGAAAGCAGTCATATATATATATATATATATATATATATATATATATATATCTTTTTTTTTACACTATCCTCTCATCAAAGATAAGGATTTAGAACTCTGTTTCCCAGCACATGATTTATTAAAAATTTTTTTTTTTTTTTTTTTTTTCTCTTCAGGGCCGAAATGTTATCATCGAACAGAGTTGGGGCAGTCCCAAGATCACCAAAGATGGGGTTACAGTAGCCAAGGCAATTGAACTGAAAGATAAATACATGAATGTTGGTGCCAAACTGGTGCAGGATGTTGCCAACAATACCAATGAAGAGGCTGGAGATGGTACAACAACTGCAACAGTGTTGGCCCGTTCCATTGCCAAGGAAGGATTTGACAAAATCAGCCGTGGTGCTAATCCAACAGAAATTCGACAGGGAGTTATGATAGCAGTTGATACTGTGGTGAACACCCTGAAGTTGATGTCTAAGCAAGTTACAACCCCAGAAGAAATTGCCCAGGTAACTGATACAGAGAAATGTGTGTGTGTGTGTGTGTGCTTTTTTTTTTCTTTTCTTCTCTTCCTTCTACCAAGATTTTATTTACATTAAATACAGCATTTAATAATGCAGGTATTCAATTTAATAGCATATTTAGTCATAAACAGAAACCTAACAATATAGCGTCCCTTACATAGTATCATTTTTTTTTCTTTTGTCAGTGTCTATGGCTGGACAAGTGGGTGACTTAATGATTATTAGAAAAGAAAGTGGAATTGGTAAAAGCAACTAAAAAAAATTATGGTCTTGTCAGTTGTCTTCACTTTCACACTAATGCCCCTTGCAAAAGGCATGAATCCATCAATGCCCCTTGCAAAAGGCATGAATCCATCAATGCCCCTTGCAAAGGCATGAATCCATCAATGCCCTTTGCAAAAGGCATGAATCCATCAATGCCCCTTGCAAAAGGCATGAATCCATCAATGCCCCTTGCAAAAGGCATGAATCCATCAATGCCCCTTGCAAAAGGCATGAATCCATCAATGCCCCTTGCAAAAGGCATGAATCCATCAATGCCCCTTGCAAAAGGCATGAATCCATTAATGCCCCTTGCAAAAGGCATGAATCCATTAATTCATAGCCACTCACCAGCTGTAGTTTAAATAGGTTAGACTGTGTTCTCTAGCCTTTGATGGTAACCAGTCTAGAAGAATAATTTTGAATGCCTGAACTTGGAGAAGCTGATAAGTAGTCATGGCGATAGTAAAGCAAAAAGAATTTGTGGAGAGCCATAATCACCTATGTTGAAGAGGTATTTCTCAAATGAAGAAAAGCCTGCATTAAAAAAGTTAATTGCTGTTCTAATAAAAGTAATTTGAATCCCAAGTTAATACACCCCTCTCTGTAATGCCAGCAGAAACCAATTGTTGAGCTTAAGGCCACATCCTACATTTTAACTGAAAGAAATATCAAGATGTTGCTCAGTGAAGTAGCTTATCAGTATGTATTTAAAATGAGTAATTGATGAACATAGAATTGATTTAATTTTAATACCAAATTAATACATATGTTCTTTTTAGTTAATTTCCTTTGAAGGCTTTATGTTCTCAAAAATATAATTTTTTTTAACCATTTTATTTTTTTTTACTTTTCAAAAGTAAGACCAAGGTTGATAAAAAAAAATGTATTAACAATTGAAAAAAATAATTTGAAAAGTATGGAATAATAGAAAAATTTGTATATTTTTGATTTGGATATAACTTTTTTTTTTTTTTTTCCTTAGATTTATGGGAAGACATAGGTTCCGTGAAAGCTTGGTGATTAGATTTGATTTAATTTTCCTCCACTTTTACTGTGGATGGGGCACATTTGGTTGTTTGCACCTGTTTCCTACAGTTTCTGAATTTGTTTCTTCAGTAAACTTTCGCAAGGGTGCTAAAGAAAACATCTCAAAGATGTCATAGTTGCCTGTAAAAGTCAGCTTCAATTTTTGAGAGACATTCTTTAATTTTAAAACTTTTTTTTTTTTTTTTTTTTTTTTTTTTTTTTTTTTAAAGAAAAGGAAAAGTAGCCCAAAATAATATAAAAAGTTCCTTTTAACTAATGCTGAGCAATTGATACAGATAAAATGAGATACATTAACAGGTCTCTCACTCCTTAACTCTTATGAAATGAATTAAAGCTTGAGACTTGAGTCGGTTTTCAACTTTGAGATAATTATAAAAAGTCTCTCAAAATTTATTTCTTTCTGATTAAAGGAAAGTATTTTTTTATAAGTTGTTAAAATTCATTGTAAATAAATCTGTTAAGCACCCACAGCATTTGAGAAATCTTTTTATTTTATGCACAGTGGAAAAATCTAGTCTTGTCTACATATACTCCTTGTCCTTCCTAGAAATCAGGTTTCATTCTTTTACAAATTTTCATTTATGGCTGTTTATATTGTCAGATTTAATTTTAATAAAAGAATAAAATAATTTCAAGTTTTAGAGATAAAGCTAAAATTATTTTATATATATATATATATATATATATATATATATATCTCTATCTTGCATGCCTCTCCAACCTTTCCAACTTCTGTTAATGGAAATTTTTTTCTTCAGGTGGCGACTATTTCTGCTAATGGTGATAAATCAATTGGAGAAATCATTTCTGATGCCATGAAGAAAGTAGGACGTGATGGTGTCATAACAGTTAAGGTTAGTTATCTTCTTGGGGGACGGCTGGCTGCTTCCTTTTAACCTTCCATCATATATATATATATATATATATATATATATATATATATATATATATGTGCATGCACACACATTTTAACCCTTACATAGTGGACATGAATTTGTAGTCGGCAAGAATAAAAATAATTCAAAAACGGGTATTAATTTTATTTTTGAATTTAAAAAATTATATTCCCCGAGAAAAGTTTCACTAAATTTTCTTGTTTCTGTTTTGTTTTTTTTTTTTGTTTTTTAGCATCTTTTTTGCTATGCTTGTCACATCCTGTGGTGATTGGTTCAATTAAAGATGTAAAAATAAAGTTTCCTCCTCCACCTCAATTGTCTTACAAAAGTAGACATCTTGAATCAATGGAGGTAGACATTGAATTCGTTTGTAACATTAATTAAAAAAAAAAAATCTAGACCATTATCTTTCTCAATCCAGTTTTGTTTGGAAATTGTTGCTTTGCTATCAATAGCCGCCTTCATGATTTAAGGGGAATAACTCTTGACTGACCGCATTTCATATTTTTAGGTCTAATAACCCATTCAGATGTAGATATTTTTTTTTCTTTAAATACTACCGTAGCAAATCCTTCTGGTTGATCAAGGTAATTGTTTTTGGGTCTTGTCATCTTGATTATAGCGCGCGCGTGTGTGTGTGTGTATATATGTATGTAATAGGAAAGAACAATGAGATTTAAAATTCTTAGCATTTATTTAAAAAAAAACAAAAAAAAACTGTGCTCGATACAACAGTAGAGCATAATACATTTTATATATATATATATAATCATCACAACACTGAAATTCCCAGGTTTCAAAACTGAAACTTATTTCAAATTCAACTATAAAAATTAAACTTAAAACACAAAGTTCCATTCCATTATCAAGTGATGCTAAGAATAACTTTTTTTTCAATAATAATTGATTCACTTAATTCCAGACAAATTTGATATTTTGACATGTTGGGGCTAAGGAAACTCCAGTCACATTTTTAACATTTATATTTTTTATTATTACCAACTTAAGATATTTAATTTATTTACTAATTGAGTACATATATAGTAATGTTAAAATTAATATATTAGAATTTAATTATGTATTTATAAACTATTTTATTTATGATCAAATATAAATGTTAGTTTCATTTTATAAAATTAGCTATTAAAAAAAATTTGCCAATGTCTACAAAAACCTATTTTATTTCTTTGATTTTAATTTTTCAGAAAGTTAATATAACTTAAAAAAATATTGATAGCTACAATACATTAGATACATGAGTTTTCTAAATAAGTTAAATCTTAACACCCCCTAAATTAAAGATTGAATTTTCCTTAACCCCAACATCTCAAAATATCATGTTGGTTTGGATTTATAAATTATCAATTTCTAAAAAAAAGCAGCGTTTGATAATGGAACGGAACTTTGTATTTTAAGTTTAATTTTTATATTTGAATTGATGTCTGTTTTAAAACCTGGGAATTTCAGTGTTGTGATGGTAATATTTTTTTTTTTTTTTTAAATGCACACACACACACACACACACACACACACGTGTGTGTGTGTGTGTGCAAATTAGTATAGCTTATTTCATAGCAATAGGGTTATTAATTATACAAATAAAACATTCCTTTTTCATATATCTACCCCCCCCCCTTTTTTTTTCTTTTAGGATGGTAAAACTTTAAAGGATGAATTGGAAACTATTGAGGGAATGAAATTTGACAGAGGATACATTTCACCTTATTTCATCAACTCTGCCAAAGGTAAGACTTGTCATATACATTTTGTGTATTATAACAATAAAATAATCTAAATGATTAATTACTTCCTAGCAGAGCTCTTCATTGTCAAATACACATTGAGTATAAATATATAACGTACTAACCAAAATTTCAGTGGGAAATTGAATTAAAATTTTCATGGTTTTTATTTTTATTTAATTACATATATGTGGGACTCGTACAAATGCATCCCTTGTTTAAAATGCAATATTACAATTGTTTGGTTACACCATGTAATGAATGGCTTGAATAAAAAATGAATGGCTTGAATAAAAAATGAATGGCTTGAATAAAAAAAAAAAAAAAAAAAATTCTTCCAGTTGACCTCCAGCAATGCCTTCCATTATTCTCTTTAGAATTTCCATGCATCTAATGTTCAGACTTGACACATTATCTGGTGTCTGGTTCAGCCAAAGATGCAACAGTAATCATTGACAAACTCTTCCAATCAAGGCAGCAGGTTCTGCCCTGAATCAAGAGAGATTGACATTATTTTGTTCTTTCATTTTTTTTTTTTTTAGTTTTTAATGTATGTGTCTTTTTTTCTTTTTTTTTTTATATATATATATATATATATATATATATATATATATATATATATATCTTGTTTATCTTCTCTTCAGGTGCCAAGTGTGAATTTCAAGATGCATTTGTACTTTTATGTGAAAAGAAAATTTCCAACATTCAGTCAATCATTCCAGCTTTAGAATTGGCTAATTCCCAGCGGAAACCTCTTCTCATTATTGCAGAAGATATTGATGGAGAGGCTCTCAGTACACTTGTACTCAACCGGTTAGTCCCTACCTATTTTTAAACTTTTCCCCCTCCAATAACACTTATAAATCAAATAATGGTTTTATATGATAAGAGTTGACTTAAAAAGAAAAAAAACATTCCATATTCTATCAGTTATTTTTAAGTTTGCATTAAAAAATTTTCTGAATAGATTTTTCAATTCAAATTATTTCTTTATTTGAAGAAAAAAAATTAATTCAAATTTTATTCAAATCATTTGCAGTAGTCATAGTTCAAAAATAACTTATTCTTTTTCTCCTCTTTTCCTTTCAGATTTAAATTTGATTCCTTTGCTTTTAATGTTTAATTATTTTCTTACAAAAAAGAAAAAAATTCTCAGGAAATGCCTCATACAAATTTTGAAATTTACAAATTTTTAGTGGATTTTTTATCAAACATAATAAGTCAATATTAATAAATGTTAGATAAAAACCTTTAAAAATTAGTTTGTTTCAAGTACGAAACTGAAGTTAGCAGATATAAATTTGTAGAAGTCGTTATGAGAAAAGTGCACATAGGTAATTCAAACCTGGCTCTATCAATGTGGCTGATTTGGTAAAGGCACATTTTGGTTATAGAAACACTTTCTCTGATGGGCAACTAGGGATACTGGTTTGATTTTTCTTAGGACTTCTCAACCTAATTAATTTCTCTTTAGAAAAAAAAAACTCCACAAAAAACAGTGATAGCAAATGAAATGTGTTCCACTAAAAATGTTTATAGTAATAATATTGAATTAAAAAAAAAAAAAAAAAAGTTCTTATCCTGATTCAGAATAGTACCGCCCTCCTCCTAATCAATATTTCACAGCTGAAAACTTCCCTTTGAATAAAAATAAAAATAATAATAAAGTTATGAATAGTTTTTCCAGGACAGGTTGAAGTGTTTCTATGATTCCCTTCAATATTTTTGGGTTTTGCTGTGAATTGAATTTGTTTTACGTTTGTTTTTCCAGATTAAAAGTTGGTCTTCAAGTTTGTGCAGTGAAAGCTCCAGGTTTTGGAGATAATCGTAAAAACTCGTTACATGATATGGCCATTGCTACTGGTGGTGTGGTGAGTCTCTCAATCTATTTATTAGAATAATGTCTGGTGAGAGACTGAGTGTTATTGATGTTATTATTAATAGTAATCTTTTGGTTTGTCTAGTGAAAAAAACTTCAGTAATTTTTTTTTTCTCTTCCTCTTATTTTTCTTTTTAATTTACTGTGCAAAACTCTACATCCACATAAGTATTAAAAACATAATTTGAAATGCATTTTTTTTAATTTGTTAAATCTATTTCTTAGTCATAAAATCTCAGATATGTGCATTTTTACATGTCTGCATATATACTTAATGTATAATGTACTGTTAGTAATTTTAAATTGATGTCTAGTCTAAATTGAAATTTGGAGGGGCAGGGATTATCATTTAAAAATGATAAACTAAAGCAGTGTCTCTTGAAGAGTTTGTCTTGGAGCGGGTATTTCGCAACGTTTTTTCCTCCTTTTTGTAAATTTTCACTACAAACAATTCTCTTTTGTCCATCTAATGGAGTTTTAATTAGCATGAGAGATATATATATATATATATATATATATATATATATATATATATATATATATATATATAGTTGCATTTGCATCTCCCCTCCCCCGGTCTCCATTGCTCCAATGAAATGCATTGATCAGATCTTTGCTAGTTTTTCATCCTTTTATTTTTCTACTCATTTACAAAACTCAACATTTTCCTTTTCATTGGTGTTTTTTTTTTTTGTATGATTTAAAAAGAAAAAGTAACTTAACTCTGAAAAAATTTCTGCGGTTTAATGTTTTACAAATGAGACTTTAGATTCTTGAAAAGATGAAATTTTATAGAAAAAAAAATGAATTTCCATATTTTATATATATATATATATATATATATATATATATATATTCTGAATGGCATGGGTTTTGGAGTATGACTTAAATTGTTCTTGGTTTCATCTGTTCATTTTGTAGGTATTTGGCGATGAAGGAGACCTCAATAAATTGGAAGATGTGCAGCTTCATGACTTAGGGGTTGTTGCTGAAGCTATTATCACAAAAGATGATTCCCTTCTGATGAGAGTAAGTACGTTTTTCTTTGTATAGGCTTTTCTTATTGTCATCCCTTATGAGCTATTTTCTCTATTTTCACCCCTTGTAGTTTGTTTAATAGACATATTTTCCTTTTTGGAGTTTTCTTTAAGATGAACTTCAAGTTTGCTTTCTCTTGACCCGATTCAGTCAGTGATTTGAAACATTCAGAAAATAAGTGCACTCTAGAAAATTTGATTCTTTACCTTATAAAAGAATGTTGACATTTTTAGAAATGGGTTGAGGTGAGAACTTTTCCGTACTCTTAGTAGTAGTAGTAATAATAGATGGAGCAGCTGCAATTTTTTGAATAGTCTAATTCAAACATGCCCTAAGGATATTTGATGTTGTCATCATTATGAGGTTTTATTTCAAATTCTTTATTTTCTCAATCTGACGTTATTCAACATGGAAAGTTTAGCTCTTTAAGGTAAAAACAAATCTTAAATTATGGCATTATTTACTGTTAGAAGAATTGCACAAGGTCAAACAGTTCTGGTGTCTGACGTCTTGAAATGTAGTGTCCTTGAACGGTGCCTCCAGGCGCCCCCCACCCCCCCTTAATTTCATGAAATTTCTAGAAATGACATTCCATCCTCTAAATTTGTTTTATTAGTTAAATGCAGAATACCTTGGGGAATGTAAATCAACCTTTTATATATAATATATATATATATATATATATATATATATATATATATATATATATTTCCCCAGTGTAGGATTGTTAATTAATCTGAAACTTTTAAAACCATTTATTTTATCTTCAACATCATCACTTGATAAGACACTGAGTGTATTGAAACAAAATGGCTATTTTTTAGTGATTTTATAACATACTTATGTTATATATATATATATATATATATATATATATATATATATATATATATATATATATATATATATATATATTTTTTTTTTTTTTTTTTTTTTTTTTTTTTCAACTTACTCAGTTCCCAAAAATCTGCTCCAAATTGTCAAATAAAATCTTATAAAACTGACATTATGTAATTAGATAAGCTTTTAATTGCTTTCACAAATAATTTATATTAAGGACATTATAGTCTGAAGAAGCAAGTTTTTTTTTGATGAATAATGAATTTTTACAAGAACTTTTTTTTTTTTTAATAATTTATAAAGTTTCAAAAATCTTAAAATTGAAAAGCACAAATCATCATGCACCAAGAATTAAAAAAATTTTTTTTTTAACTTTTTTTTTTTTTTGTGTGTATAAACATGCCCATTTTGAAAGTATGGATGACCATACACAACATTATCTGAAAATAAGGATGATCATGATAGTAAATTTAGAGCTAACATTCCTAAAATTAGATTATGGAGAATATTTCCAGCATTTTTAAGGTTAAGAGTACTTAAAAATTATTTAAAAGTGTTTACCTGTCATTTTCTTAAATTATCTTTAAACAGTCTCCGTAGAACAACAATAAATCTGTCATTACCTTATCAAAGCTTCTTAAGTGGTTGATGGGTGATAAAAATCATTTAAATCACTGCCACTCTTTGTTTTAAAAATCCATTTCTGTTATTTTCAACTTAAAGTAAATTTTTTTTTTTTTTTTTTTTTTTTTTTTTTTCAAATCAGCTAATATTTCTCAGTTTCAGAAATTTGTTTTATTTTTGGAAAATTTTTTAATACAGAGAATTATGCTGTGATGAAAAATGTTTGAAAAAAACAAAAGAAAAAGATGCTGATCAGCGATTTTTAGAAAAGAAAAAAAATGAAAAAAAAGAAAATAAACACTGATTCCAATCAATATAAATTCTGTTTAAAATACACCTTAATGGAAATTTACTAAAGCTTTCAATGAAAGCTTCAAGAAGGCTTTTTCCTTTATGAAAACTCATTTTAAACCTTAGGTATACAAAATTAGTGGAGGTACTTATTCTTGAGAAACTAAATTGAAAGTTTATGGTTAAAAATAAAGAGGTCAGTCAGTTTAAAAAAAAAAAACATTCTTTGAATCTACAACACCTGAGATTTGTGTGATGAAAGACCAGGTAATTTATTTTATTCTTGGTCATATTTGCTCGAGTCTCAAATTTAACACTGGAATACGAAAAAGCAATGTCTAATTTTGTCTTTGTGAGAGGTTGATTGAATCCTACACCATCCTATTATCTGTAAATTTAAACATTGGTTTTAAAATAATTATTTTCATCGCAGCTTGGCTTATGAAAGGCTCGTTTGTTTGTAAATTCCATGACCCTCAATACTCACTATTTGCTCACTAGTCAGATTTTATCAGCCCCAAAATTTTGTGATAATCTATAATAAGTGAAATTCTCTTTAATCCCTAACTTTGTAGGGCAAAGGTGACAAGGCTGAAGTTGAACGTCGAATTTCTGCCATCAAAGATGAGATTGAATTGAGCACATCAGATTATGAGAAAGAAAAACTGAGTGAACGAATGGCCAAATTGTCCAATGGGGTTGCTGTCCTTAAGGTAAGTTTTGTTCACTTCTTTCCCACCTGGAATGTTGCAGGTGTCAGTGTTTCTGTCTATCTTCCCCTAGACTCATTGTGTTTTCACTCTCGTAGATGTTAGTGTGAGAAAATCTGGTTTCTGCTTAATAAAAAATTTCAATCTAAAATGAATTCAATTTATTTTATTTTGCAACATTTTTCCTACATATATTGGAGATAAATGAGTTTTCTAATTTTGATGCTGTACACTAAACCAAATGATAAAATATTTTTTGGCCAGTATCTCTCATATTCTCACACACGCACACTTTTAGAAAGATATATTTTAGTTTTTTTAATCTAAATTTTTTGCTTTGTAGGTTGGTGGAACAAGTGAAGTTGAAGTGAATGAGAAGAAAGATCGTATAAATGATGCCCTGAATGCTACCAAAGCAGCTGTGGAGGAGGGTATTGTTGCTGGTGGTGGTACTGCATTGCTGAGGTGTATAGCTACTCTGGATAAGCTCAAAGCAGCCAATGAAGACCATAAAATAGGTGAGTAACCAATTAATTTTCATGTTAACAAATGTAGTTGATAAAGCATTTGATTCTTTTCCTCCTATAAATTTCAATGAATTTTCTTCTGTTTGGTGTGAAAGCAAGAAGTGAATTTTTTTTCTTGGGTGCAGTAATAAATTTTTTTTTTTTTTTTTTTTTAATAAAACACTTTCTTTCCTATTCTGACCACTTGTTTCTGAAATCTTTCATTTCCAGGTATAGACATTGTACGGAAAGCACTAAGGGTGCCCTGTATGACAATTGCCAAAAATGCAGGTATTGACCCCCATGAAGTACTCGAAAAGGTTTCTGCTGCATCAGGCGACACAGGCTACGATGCACTCACTGGCGACTATTGTAATCTTATAGAAAAAGGCATCATTGACCCAACAAAGGTATATATAGATAGATATATATGTACATCTTTTAATTTTATTTCATTTATTTTCTTTAAAATTTTTATTTCCTCTTTATTTTTTTTTATTTTTTTATAATGTAGGAACAACTTGGTTATTTTGTCTCTTACTTTTGTGTAAAAGAAGGCTTTCTTTTTCCTCTTCTACTGGCAGATAAGTTTTCTAAATTTGGAAAAACCAAGAATGTCATCAAGGTAGCTGCGTTAAAAATGATGCATAACAAGTTTTAGTGAACATCTTAACTGGATGTTACATTTGTTCGGATTTTGTGTGAGATTAAAATCTGGACAAATTGTTTGCTCTTTTTGAATGGCATACTTAATTTCACAATGAAAATAATGTTTCTTAAAATTTTATTTTTTGTTCTCACTCACACATAACCACATACATAAACAATAATTTAAGTAAAATTTGTAAACTTGGTAGAAATAACGTTTTTGTCATTTTATGCCATTGGTAATTTGTACTAGAGATCAAATGTGTAGATGTTTTTTGCTTTTGAAACTGGAAATATTAATAATTTTTTGTTTTGCTCGTAAATTAATGCTTGGTACTGCCAAGTGTAGATGAGGATATATAAAGTTGATCTTAGACTTGAAGAGGCTAACATATTAATAAAGATCATCCTTTTGAAAGTCCTTTCCACAATGTTGCTATTCTTGGGAATAGAAGACAAGGGGAATAAGGATGATATGGTCTTCTGCTAATAGTAGTAGTAGTAATAATAATATACTATTAATGTAGGCAATGACTAATTGTGTGCGAGTGCTCATTGTGATCTCAAGCCAAAATTAGGTGAGCATGGTAAATAACTAATGTTAACCAGTCGATTCATTTTTGTAACCTTGTACCATACTAAATGTTTCAATCTCAATTGAAAACCTTGGTAAAAATTATAACATTTTACAGATGACTTTTTTTTTTTTTTTTTTTTTTTTTTAAAGGTTAAAATCTAATTGCTTTTATTTTTCTCTTTCTCCCATGTAGGTTGTTCGAACTGCTTTAGTTGATGCTGCTGGTGTTGCATCTCTGTTGACGACAGCTGAATCAGTTGTGACAGAACTTCCGAAAGAGGACCCACCAGCCATGGGTGGTGGTATGGGTGGAGGTGGAATGGGAGGTATGGGTGGTATGGGAGGCATGGGTGGTATGGGCTTTTAATGTCACAAACATCTAGGCTTCCCACCCGCTATTCCTCACTTGATGGCTTCTCTCTTCATCTTGTCCTCACAAGTGACTCTACATGTTTTTACATGTGTGTGTGCTGCATGGCTGTGAGCTTTTCCCATGTCTTCTCAGGAGGCTGCACTTGGCACTGGGATCTATGCATGCAGGTGCGCATGTAGTGTGTATTCTCAAAGGACTCCATCATCTTCATTCATGCAAAACTGACGAGGTGTTGACCAAAACTATGAGAAAAAGTATTAACCTCGATTGGTATCAGATAGGATCACTTCCTGCCAACGATAACTAAAAACTTTCCAAACTGCTTTAGATTTTCAAAGAAAGGTTTAAAAAAAAAAAAACGAGAAAAAAACAAAAAAAACAAATTAGTTTTATTTCCACACACACACACACACACACACAATAAAAATGCCTTTAGACTGTGATGGACAGGTTTGACAATTGGGACAAGTTATTTGTTGGACAATGTTAAAGTGAAAGAATGATTTTTGATTAGTATTCATTGAAAACAGATTTCTCTTTGTGTGTATATAAATATATATATATTGTGTATATTAATAATAAAGAAAAAAATAGCTACAATAAGTAAAATGATCAAATATAGTTGTTTGTTTGGAATTAAGAAAACTTTAGGCCTGAAAGCAGAACAAATTTGTTGCAGAAGAAAAAATTGCATTAAAAATGTCATTGAATTAAACTTTTAATGTTACTTATAAAAGTTTAAAATTTTGTGGGTCATTCAAATTAGGTGAGTAAAAAAAAAAATTTTTTTATATAATAGTAAAAATTTACTTTATTTACTTAACTGTTCTTTATCTAGCATATTAATTCGAGGGAAGAAATGTAAAATTTGGATAAAATGACCCCCCCCCCAAAAAAAAATCTTCTGTAACAATTTTTTTCTATTTTGAAATTTCCAAATTCAGAAAATTGGTCAAAAGTTGATGCTTAATTTCTTGGTAGGGAGACTGTGTTTCTCTGAATTTACAAGACATATCCATTTTTAATTTATTACCTAAAAGAAAAAAAATGAATTCTTTCTATTTTAGCTCCCAAATCATAAATATTTCAAGATTGTAACGCCACGAAAAAGAAGAAAAATACCCATTATAGAAATGACTGTTGGATTTATAAAATATTTCTTTAAAAAGACGACTTTTGGTTACTTATCCAGTTTCATGAAATCAATTTTCTCTGATTCCTGCATATGTTGAAGTAGACAAGATTTCTGTCTGAATGTGATTTAGCCAAGCCATCTTCTCTTCTATTCATTTAAGGCCTGTCATTGCTTAAAGTTCTTGATAGTTACTGATTTTTCTAAAGTTTTAGCATTTAGAACATCTTTCTTTTGGAAATAATTCTCTGGTGCTACAAAAGTCTTCAACAACATTAACTTTTATGATTTCTTGTATGAATTGTCTGAATTCATGCAAACCTTTTTGTTTTCAGACTAAGCTAAGATTTGAAAGAATGAGCAGTCAGTCATTGGATTCTACATTTTCATTGATTAAAATCATTGACCATAATCTATAACTTTGAGATTAAAACTTGCAAAATTACTTTTGGAACAATAACGGAGCATTTTGTTTATACTTTATTTTTATTAACTATTAATAAGCAAAAAAAAAAAAAAATTCTTTGTTCTTGTCCAAACAAGTTTTGAGTTTGGGAATCGTCCTCATCTTCACACAATTCATCTATTTGTTGAATTTAGATTTTTTTTTTTTTTTTTTTTTGTTTATTCATCAAAGTTAAACATCATTACTTCCAAAAAAAAAAAACATCCAAATAAATTTGCCTAAATAACACTTTCCCTTTTCAACTTACAGGTTTTGAATGTGTCCTCATCACTAACAAGATTTTTGGTTGCATTTGTAATAAAATTAGACCAGTAGCCTCTTCCTTCACGCATTTCTTTTCGTGCTGAAAGTTCTTTATGAATTCTGGTTTTAAGCTATTATTAAAACTTGTCTATAATCTGAATTGGAATTAAATTTTGAGAAAACACTTTTCAGGTTCTCGTATTCTGGTTTTCTCATGCTGCAAGTTTATTGAACTTTTATACTATGTATTATTTCAAATGTTCATGGTACAGGGTCAAGGTGTAATTTTGACATGTTGCAAAATAGTGTTTGTATGTTTTTAGAGAAAATGCAATGAACACTAACCAAGACTTACGGTTGATTTGAATCTTAAAGAATTATGTCTAATTCTTGTTAGCAATTTTATTTTTTTAAAGTATCTTGTGTTAATTTAATTTTCCATTTGAATTTTTTTCAATACTTTCTTTACCACTGCTTCCAATGATAATCAGTAACTCTAAAAGTATTTTAGCTTTTGGGATCCCAAATGATAATGCCAAGAAGTGAATGGATTCTTTTAAATAATTCTAATTTCTACATTTTGTTTTTTAGTTTGGAGTTTGCAATTTATCATGGTATTAGTAAACATTAGTAACAAACATCATGCCAATCATTTTTGTAATATAAGTTTTCAAATTAAAAAAAGTGAATAAATAAGTACAGCTTGATTTACTATTTGTTTTTTTTTTTTTTTTTTTTTTTTTTTTTTTCTTTTCTTCCCTCCCTCTTCCTTCTCACCAACAATCAGTGGTGAATATTGGAGTAAGAACTGATTGGAACATTCAACCTTTTTAAGAAAAATACTCCATTTTATGAAATGGAAAAAAAAAAAAAAAATGTACCGAAAGTTTTGTGTGGTAATGCTTATATAGTATTGCATCATCAATTACTACTGTAGTGAACTTGACTTTTTATTTCGTGCTTCATATATCTGGCATTCAATAATATTGAGCATTAAACTTGGATATTAAGCCGTGTGTGTGTGGAAGGGGATTAAATTAACAAATAATTGGAAGGTTTCAGAAAGCAGTGTTCACTTTTAGTGAATAAGATGCAGGATGCCCCCCTTAGTTTTACTCACTTTCCTTGAAAAAAAAAAAATAACAATTTAATGCTTCCTCTACAGAATTGTATGGGGGGGGGGAGGAAGAATTTTGAAAAGTCATTGTAAAGCTCGATGTATGATGGATAGTCAGAAATTGATGCCATTTCTCTGTGGAATTAAAATATCTGCTGCAGCTATTCCAGTTGGTATGCTAAACTGCATCCTGGCCCCTTTGCTGCATGGCAATGCCATCCCATCCTTAGTCAACAGTGAGTCTGCAATTGAATCCTGCAGCTAACCGTGAAGTTGATCACTTCGATCTAAGTCTCTCACTGTTCCATGTGTTTGTTTTGATCACAAGGCAGGCAAGGATTAAATTGTCGCCAGATATTGCTGGATTGGTGTTAGGTGGATAAAGGTTATAAGACAAATGTGTAAATCAAGGTTTATACAGGAACACTTTTTCATATAAGAATCTACAAGCATGCAGGCTGCTATCCATTCACTTGTAGTCTGTGACACTTTATTGGATTCCAAATTGGAGTCGAGGTTTCAAACTTTAAGTCGGACTTCTTCAATTAGCAAATTACAGAATTCTAACAAAGCACTTGTCTCTATTTCTCTTCACTTTGCAATTTCATCAGGACACTGCTCAATTTATCTAATAGTCTGGTACAAGGCATGAGTCAAGAGTTCTTTATGGCAACAAATATGGCTCAATGGAAGTGTGCCTGCCTCAACTGCTTCTCAATCTGGATCTCTTTCTCTCTGGCTATTTAAGGAGTCCAACCACCAAAAACTGTTGGGGTTGGATTGTCCTGGGATGACTTTGAACCTCCTGTTACCCAATCAAATTTCTCCACGGGTGCTGCGCATATTCATCTTCCTCCCACTTACTCATATCAGCTTCTGCCATCATCATCCAGGGAATAGGTGCTCCATCCGACCCAAGGTTGCCTGATGCAAAACAAGTTTTATTTTTAATGTCACCATAAAATTATCTTCACTTCTAATTATCACGTTTGGCCTGTAACTCTTCCTCTCTTTCCCACTTGAATAAAATTTTCCAGCCTAAGAAAATCTTGTCCCTTTAGTGTCGTGCATCTTCCACTCCCTTTTTCCTCATCCACCTGTAGCCATAAAATTATCTGTAACCAGCTTGATGGTTTCTGTCAAAAATTGCACTCCCCTCATCTCGTCCCCTGGGCTACACTTTAATCAAATGCCCAAGTAGATTTCTGTGTTATAGTGAGGTCCTTAATGATAAACAAAATTATATATTTTTTTTGTTTTTCGGTATATCTTTCAATCTATCTACTACCTTTGTATTCACTTTCAATTTAATTTAAGCCTTCTTTTTTTTTTTTTTTTTTTTTTTTTTTTTTTTTTTTTCAAATTATCAGCATTCTTACAGTGTCACACTGAAATGAGAGATTGTGGTGGTGACCATCTCAAGGATGTAAGATTCAATTACTAGATATATAATAAATTTATTTGGTACTCATTTTTATAATCCAAGATACTTCGATTTAAAATGTCTCCTAGCACACCTCGTATAAGGGACTAATGTTTGTCATTTTTATTTTAAGTAAACTAATTTGTTTAATTTGAATTCAGTCTGAGTAATCATAATCTTTGTTTTATTAACTTAAAAGCCAGCAAAACATCAATTGCAAGAAGACTGAATGCATGACTATTAGCAAAAGGGACAGGCTGATATACAAATTGGAGATACTAAAATCAGACAAATACACTTTAAATATCTGGGAAGTATTAATGGAGGGTGCAAATTGTAACATTGAAATCTAAGGATGCTTTCCCAAAGCTAAGCAAAGAAACAAAAATTTTGTTAGAAACCAAGAAAAGAATGCAGAACTGTTATGTAATATTTGTCCTCGTTTATGGCAGTGAACGCTGGACAATCACGGATGAAGACTAGAAGCAACAGAAATGTGGTTCTACAGAAGGATGCTGAGGATACTATAGACTGAATATGTGAGCAAAGCTTTAGAGAAAATGGAAACGAAA